GTCGCGGAGGGGCTGGCGGAGGCGGCGGCGCACTGGAGGGCGAAAGCCGAGGGCGCTGAGGCGGAAGTAGCAGGCCTGAGGGCGGAGGTGTCCAGGCTGCGGGCTGCGGCTGTGTCAGCGGCAGCGATACAGCCGCCGACCATTGTCCGCGCCAGCTCGACGGCGGAGCCGCTCGAGCCGAGCGCGGCGGCGTCGCCGGTGCAGCTGCCGCCGCCGCCGACGCCCCGGCAGCCGCTGCGCCGCCTCGGCGGCCGCACCCGCTCTGCGGCCGCGGCTGCGGGAGAGGGACCGGCGGCAGGCTGGGTGGCGGAGAGGGCGCGCCTCGTGGCGCGCGTCGCCGCTTTGGACAGGCGAAACCGAGAGCTGTCCCTGCGCGTGGTGTGCTTGGAGCGGGATCGGCGGGAAGCTGCGCGGCAGCCGGGCGGGGCGCGTGCCGCCGCAATCGCGGCCGCCGAGGAGCCCGGCCAGGCGGCGGCAGGCGGCGCCGCAGCCGCGCGGCGCGTGGGGGACGCGCGAGGCGCGGGCTCCAGCGATGGCGGCGAAGTGAGCGGGGGCGGCCGCCGGGGCTGCAGTGATGATGAGTTTGTTCACGCTCCGCCTGCGTGCCAGGGCGCGACGCCCCCGGCAGCAGGCACGGTTCTGGCGGCAGGCCGCACGTTGGCGGCCGCACCGGCAGCAAGCGCCGGGATCGGGGCGGGCGCTGGGGTCGCGGCAGCCGCCGCGGCGCCAGCGGGCGCCGCAGCAGCGGCAGGCGCTGCGGCTGCGGCGGGCGCTGCGGCTGCGGCAGGCGCTGCGGCGCCGGCAGGTGCTGGGGCGGCGGCAGGCACCGGGGTCGCGGCAGGCGCCGCGACGGCAGCAGGTGCTGGGGCGGCGGCAGGCACCGGGGTCGCGGCAGGCGCCGCGACGGCAGCAGGTGCTGGGGCGGCGGCAGGCGCCGCGACGGCAGCAGGTGCCGCCGCGGTGGCGGGCGCCGCGTCCGCGGTGCCCGCGCATGCGGCCACGCGCTGGCCGGTCGCTTGGCGCACGCGCGCCCTGCGGTATCACCAGGCGACGGCGGGCGGCATCACGAGCGCGTGCCACGACGCACCAGCGGCTGCCGAGGAGGCCCCGCAAGCAGCACCAGAGCGCACGCCCGGGCGACGTCGCCCATCCGCCTCATGCCCGCGCGACGCCACAGCAGGCGCGCCCGGCCAGGCCACGCCCGCCCATACACCGGCGACGGTGATGGCAGCTGCGGTGGCAGCGGCAGGAGCGGCAGAGGAGGGGGCGGCGGGCCCGCCCGAGGGCTCGGCGTCGGCATTGCCGTCCGAGCCCGCGGCCGAGGCGCCCAGCCGCGACCTAGAGTACTACCGTCTGAAGCTGCTGCCCTTCAGCGCCGCTGAGCTGGCGGCCCTCACTGCCGAGTGGCTGCAGCCGGAAGTCTGCCAGTCGACGCGCGAGAGCACGACCCGCGGCGGCACCACCCGCGTCATATCTTGCAGGAAGCTGTGCCCGCCCAGGGCGCGGCGCCACCACCCGCGGCTGTGGCCGCGCCTGGAGGCGCTGCAGACTGCGGTAGCGGCTGCGGCTGCGGGCGCAGGCTCCAGTGAGGCCGAGAACGTAGCGGACGCCGCCCCCGGCGGGGCCTGTACCGCGGGGGGCGCCGCAGCGGAGCTGCTGTGGCTGTTGCGCTGCCTGCGGCGGCAGGCGCAGCACGCGGCCGAGCGGCTGCCGTCTTTCTTGGTGGACGGCGGCCGCGACGGCGGCAGCACCGACTGCGGTGCCCCAGGTGGTGGTATGGACGATGGTGATGTCGAAGAGTTGCCGCCCCTCGAGGAGCGCAAGCCCGAGTTTTTCGTCGACGCGGCGCTCGAGGCGCATGGCTGCGCCATCGTCTGCTGCGTGGAGCCCCGCGGTGTTGGGCCCGCGCTGGCGTCGCTGCCGAAGCGCGAGCGGCTGTGAGCGCGTCCGCCAGGCGGATGCGCGTGTCGCGCCGTCTTCCCGGTGGGTTGCGGCGCGCGACGAGGTGGGGTGCTCGGGACTCTTGTGAGTTGCCTGATGGGACGATGTCCCTCAACTCTATCGATTTGATGATATGTTTTGGATCGACTTGGAGTCGATCACTAGCGCGGAGGACGCGCAGTCGCGCGTTTTTCGAAGCAGTCTGCGTGTGGGACTAGGCGCAGTCGCGCGTGTTCCTAAGCTTTCGCGCGCGGGCTTCGTGCGCGGCGCCGCCAGCGCGTTGGGTGGAGTGTCAAAGCAACCCGCCTGGGCGCTGGCCGCGCCGGCGAGCTTTCAGCGCTGCCAGCGCCCCTGATTGAGGGCGCCCCTGCTGCCCTGCACAGACGCGCATCCCATGCCTGGCGACCATGGTTGGCGCGCAGAAGCGCGCAACCCGGTTGCTGCCGCATTGGGACAGCCGAATGGCCAATCTGGCCCCTTGGACTGCCTGCTGGGCTGGGTTCTAGCCCGAGCGCAGTGTTTCATAGTGATTCCCGGGTGATTGTGTGTGCCATCGCCTGTAGGCTTGGAGACAGACGGGCTGTGCCTGCCTGACATGCGTCAGCTCCTGCAAGCACCCTGCTTGAGCGAGAGCATCGAGTGTGTGCGTACCAGGCCCGAAGGCCTTGTATTGTTCGCTGAACAAGCTCACAGCATGCTCAATCCTTAAAGCAGGAGTGTGACTTAGCGCGCAGTCGCGCGTGGCGTCTGTGCTTGCCCATGTACCCACACGCACGCTGCAGACCAGCGTGTGCTGGGTGGGCCATGTCGTAGACGCGTTCCTTGAGAGGCGCTCGCGTGAGCGACTCCCTGCACCAAGGGAGCGAGAGTTACCTGAGTTCCGTACGCAGGGTGATTCACCCGCGTACACTAGGTGGAAGGAGGCCGGCTTGAAGGCGCAGAAGCTGCCGCCGTGCCATCCCACACCCCCGGGCCCCGCCCCTCCCAAGTATGTGAGGTGTGGAGGGGACCGGCGACATCCAGCGGCGCGGGTTGCGCCCGCTCGCTCGCAGTACCGTGGCCGCGGACCGCGGTCACAAAAGTCACTGCTTACGATCTCATATCTCGAGCTGAGACGGCTCCAGATGTGGGTGACCTTGGGACAGTGTAAGATCCCATCCGTGTAATGCTGAAAGCGTCCTGCTGTTGCCCATCTTGACAGCCATGCAGGCTTTTGAGGTAACGCAACGGTGCTGGCAATTGAGGCCCTGCCCTTCGAGCGGCGGATGCAGGCAGCTGCCAAGCAGTTATGGTCATATCAGTCATTCCACATGTCAACAACCGCCACACCACACTGAAACATGCTCTCCTCGGGTGTACGCGTTGGTAGGTGCGAACGCAGAGCTGTGCCCGTGGCGTTGCATTGCGGACAACAGCGCTGGCCGCGGCTGCCAACGACTGACAACGGGCAAGCTGGAGAGCACAACGTACTGGCAATGCATTCTATCATATACATGCGGGCTGCATTTGGTGCGCTGCGGCGCCTGCGCGGACAGCAGCTCAGCATGGGCAGCACACCAGGCTGGCGGTGGTGCAGCAGTACACCGCGAGCAGTGCGAGGCGCGGCAGCGCCAGTAAGGGGCCTTCGCATTTGTGTATGCAAGACACATCCTGCGTCACATATGCGTGCAGCCATCAGATACGGATTCTTTGCCAACAAAAGATCCCGGCCTAGATCACGTATTTAGATCCGTAAGGCACTAGGGGGGTTGGGAGGCCAGCCTAGAGGCGCAGTGGCCGTGGACAAGACGTCTGATTTGTTTGCTGCCTGAGCGATGGACCCGGACGGGTGAGAAAGGGGCAGTAAGCCGGCATTGCAAACCCCTTCTGTGCTCGATCGTCATATGGCACTCTTTCCGCCCTCCCTTGCATTTAGCGTGGTCCCCTGCACGCCCGCAGCAGGCCCCCGCCGCCCGCTGGCGCGCCGGCGGCGGGCGCCGCCGCCGCGCCGGCGGACGACGTCGTCGCGGCGATGAGCGCGCTCGCAAACGCGACGCTCGCGGGCGGCATGGGCATCGACCTCAACGACCTGCCGCCCGGCCTGGTGGATCTCATGGCTGGGATGGCGGTCGGCGCGCCGCCGCCGCCCGGCCCGGCGCGCGGCCCGGCCGGCGCCGGGG